GGCCTCTGATGGATACTGCAGATGCAGCCGAGTTGCTCTTGAGTTCTGGCCCTCGTCATCATCTTCTGTTCTTATTTTGTAGCACCTCCAATGTTATCCGCATCAGGAAATTGCGTTTTACTTGTATTTGAGAGCGCAATTAAAGGACTTGGCAAAGTGCCAAGGAGCCGCACGCGACACGCGCGCTTACGACGGATGTTATGAAGGACGGGAATCTGCGCCGCAAAAAGGTGTAAGGCGGAGCATGGAGGAATTAGCGTGTTTCACGGTCCTGTATCTCCATTCCTGGGCATGTTTGGGCGGGGGGACCACGACACATCGACAGCTGGGGGCTGATAGTCTCATACACCCTCAATGTGTTTGAGCGTACTATGTGTCTTTAAGCAAACTCAGAAGTACGTGAAATCTAGGTTCCGGCACCCAAGGTCAGCATCGGATGACAAAATGACCGAGTAAAGCCTTCACCTCAACCCCATCAGGCATCTTTGAGATGACTTGAAGCATGAGTCAAAGGAAAGAAAACCACCAACACGAGTGAGCACTTCCATGCATTTTAGAGATTCTGGAGTTGGATATCCGCGAGTACTCCTGAAGCTCCTATAGGTCGATGTGTCGATTCCACTGTTTCTTCGTTTTCTGGTCTCAAGCTTTCGAATCAGCTACCGGTAGTGAAGCCTCACTTAGCGGGTTCTGGCAATCTCTAGTGGCAACTACTTCGCACTATCAAGCCAATTAGCACCTACAAATATCACATCTTGTCAGTTGTGCAGCTGACCCATGCGGAGCGAGGGGCTAACTATATTACGGTATTAATTTGAACCAATGCTAATTAACCCCATCACTTAATACCTCTAGTGCCGCATGAGAATTAAGTTAGCCCTTCACGTGCTGAGCGGTTATGCCTCGGGGACCGGACAGCAAAAGCCAGCCCTCAGATATGAAAACACAGGTCTGACCGCGGACTTGCGCGAGAGAGCGGAGTGTCGGCGTGTCATTTGTATGGCTGTGTGTCTTGCCATATATAAAACGACCTTGCCATGATTCTTCCGTGGGTGGTTCCCAAGCTTTGCTGCCACATTTCCTCGTTTTCCCCGACCTCGCTATACGCGCCGTACATTGAACGGGTTTTGATGAACACATAAAGCAAGGACGAATACTATTCCAATTGAATTGTATTTTTTTAAGAAAAAAAAAGTGTAAAACGGGGTGCGGGGTGGACGCGAAGGTGCTAACGTATTTGGGGGGGGGGGGACCACGCGGCGCGCGGCGAGTGATGACTCATCGGCTCTTCACTCATCGGCATACTTGAAGCGCGATTCTAGCAGTCAAATTAGAATAAAACAAACAAGGTTCACCGGGAACTTGCTGAGAAATCCCACGGAAGCCGAAAACAAATGTTTGATCTTTTGTAGTCAACAATAACAGTCAACAACAAACAGGCAACAAAATTTTGTAGTTGATTCAAAAATCTTCCAGCCCACAACTGTTTCTTCGGACTTTTTAGCGTTACTGTAATAATATAGCTAGGTCGGTGTTATATCCATGTCCTAAACACAAAATTACTTCTATTTTGCCGAGGAGGGAGCAGAAGAGCAGATGAGTCATCGCACGCCGCGAGCCGCGTGGTCCCCCCCCCCTCCAAATACATTAGCACCGACGCGAATCATCAATCAGGACCAGGCGAAAAAAGCCTTTGTGGATTTCGTGGCTTGTCGACCACCCAGTTTTTCCTTTGATGGGATTTATCGACTGGTAACGTATAACGTAGAACGTGATGCTAGATGTATTTACCCTGATATTTCTTACGTCCGTGTTCTCCACTCTTTTGGGCTTCCTACAAACAAAATATAATTACCTTTTTTCCGGGATATAAGGTGCACTCGTGTATAGGGCGCACTTTTGTCTCAAACGACAACTAATGTTTTTCTCAGCTTGCGTCCTTTTTGTTGTTCTTAAGTCTCGCTCTTCAATAAGAGCTGTTTGAAAATTGTATCGTAGAATACTGAGATACGCAATAAAGAACTACTGTATCCAGAAGTATTCCACGCGTGCGTCTCTGCCACCTTGCGATAGATGCGCCTTATATCCCAGGAAAACGGCGATTTTACAAAATTCGAAGAGACATACGATTGTACACGTTCATTTTGCATAATCTAGAATTCATTTTCACGAGCTTAATATGAATCATGAAAAAAAAAACTGAGAACACAAATCACGCCAAAGACCAAATAAAACATTATTCACTTAAAAAAGATTCTATTCTTGTTTTGTCGGCTCTATAGCATGTGACGTAGGCGCCGAATTATCGAGGTTCGGATCAGAGGCATCACCTGAAAGTCGAGTTCTGTGATAATGAACTGAGAGAATGAACTGCATTCTTACGTCAGCGAGTGGCAAATTATGGTTCTCTATCCGCTGAGCTTTTAAATGAATACATGCTCTGAAAACCTAAGGTCTCGATCGCTGCAGAGCCTGGGGGTGTCAGGGGGCTCGGTTGGCGACGCGCCAGCCCGTTTTCCGCCAGCTATTGTCACTTGCCTCGGTTCCACAACTAGTGCAGAACTGGCTGGTTCCGCGCCAAACTCAGCCTCACTGACACACCCGGGTATAAGCAGCGTGTTGGACTGCGCACGGATTTGATCAGATGAGAATTTTCGTAATTTCCTGAAGATAGCACACATCTCTTGAAGACAAGACAGCTTGTCATTTGCAGAGACTCGCGGGAATAGTCGCGTGCGGTAGCGCTGCGGTGCTGGCACTAACATAAACGGCCACGTCATCGGTTTTCAATATAAATTCCTGATCAAAACGATATCTGGTCTCGTGCAGCGCTGCACTGTCGGATAACACAGAGGTTGTTGGACAGCTAAGCTGTGGTATAGCATAAATCCAACTGATAAGTCGCTTTAGCGTTACTTTTTCTTACAGCAATAGTAGCAAACAGAGAGAGTTATATTAGCTCCTACCTGTGCCTGGAGGAGTTGTCGTGTCCGAATGAGGCGGTGTAGTGAGAATCGTTGTCAAACTTATTGTAACTACACGAGGTGAGGTCGCCTGCGTCATGGAAAGAGCTGCAGCTCCACCAGGTTTCTGTAAAAAATACCACCATATTGGAAATATTCTGTCGATTTAGTGACAAACAGTTTCAAAGGCAGTGGGCGCAATGACTGGGGGAGGGCGGTTACTGCCAACGTCAGTGGTGGAAGGCTGAGTGAGGTGTGGCCAAACGCCCTCTCGCGCTTCCACCAATGTACCGCTGATCACAAGGCTGCGCGCCATCCAGCATCTGCTCACCGCCTCTATGTAGGTGCTGTTCTGAGCACAGTGACAATCTTGAGAGTCCCAAAGCAGAGGCATGCGTGAGCAGAGCCAAATCGAGAACCTAGGTGGCACGGTGTTCATTCATTTCAGCTTGAACCCGGTTTTGAGACCAAGTGGTATCAGCTTCAGTTACCTTAAACCATAATGCACTTGGTCTGTCCTCTTAACCGATGATCTGTCGAATGGTGCTCGTTATCGTATGAGGAGGTAGTGGATTCCCCGTCGTGAGGGAAAAGGCCGTCAGCAGCTGATGGATTCCTAAAAGGTGCAGAAAATTATGTCACAAATGCACTTCCACTTCATCTCTAAAGGTCCTGGGGGTCACCATTCTTATTAATGTTCATCATTAATGGTTAATTCCCATGACCTTTCATTTTGATTTCAGTTTTCCTATGATCCACAATGCCATCCGACCTTCTCGAATTTTTGATAACTCGAATGCCAACCAAGACCATATTGGTTAGTCTAGTACCGATTCACTTTCTTCACATCGTAGCAGCTCCGTTTGCGTTCAGGATTGCTGCATTACGGCTCATCGGAAAGTCTAAACGCGCCGTTGACGTGAAATGTCCTGAGACTGCTGTTCTGGGCCAGGCGAATACGATCAGCTAATTCAGCAAGTCCTTACGGCCAAACCTTCCTGAATAGCGGAGCGACAAGTCAATATTGACGCGTGCGACTAAAATCATAGGCTACGGTTCTCAAGACAAATATAGAAACCACTGTTTACGTTAAGTTTAAGAGCCTAGAGACCACTTAGCGCTGTTATCCCTTGCGGCATCCTGCGGAGCGTCTTCCAGGCGTCGTCACTACGTTTCGCTAGCGTTTGCAGCGGCGGGGCTAGACAGCATAGAAGAGTAGGAGAGTACAGAATACCCTCCTACGTAGAGAGAATAGAAGAGTAGGAGAGTATTCTGTGCTCCCTACTCTTCTATACTCTCTAGCCGCTGCGCTGCAAGCGTAGGCGAACACGATGTGATACGCTCGTGGAAACGCTGTAATAGCGTAGAATCATACCTATACATTCGTTCGCCTCGCTGGCTGCGCGTCCGCTAGCGGTACGTGTGGAGCTGGGAAACCGCTGGCTAAGCTGGAAGCGGTACGCTACGCTGCCGCAAAGTATAAACGCAGCCTTATTTGTCAGGCAAGTTGTAGGGCTACGTTCAGAAGGCTAGTCTCTTTTTTTGTTCTCCCCCCCTTGACATGAGTTGGTTTGCACTAATTGTGAAGAATTATTTTGTGGTGCAACAATATTTTTCCTTCTTTCTCCCGATAGTAGGTGAGGTACCTGGATCGAGACAAGAAGATACGTTTTAGCTGTATCTCTAAATATATAGAGATCTGATGCAGACTTGTTCTTCCCCTGGGAAATCTCTTATAGGATCAAAGCTAGAAAAACAGGCAGACGAAAAATTTACTGCCAGAGGAAGAGACTAGTATGAACGATTTTGCTGAGGTTTTTGAGCGGCTATATACAATTGTGCTAGCAAGTAGAACAACAAATGATTTTCAAAGAATGAAATCATTAATCCGTTCCCAGTGAAGGTTGATGTCAGACTTCCTTGAACGGAAAAACGACACCCATGTATGTTAAGTTGGGAGGACCTGCCTTTTTGAAGATAGCTCTGAAGACACATTACACGACTTGCGTATGGGCGGGGACTCACAACCATTCCTCTTACTTCTTCGGTACATTACTGCTTTCAATACGCTAAAAAGGAGCGACGGATCAATGAGGAAGATGCAGGAGCTGTACGTTTTCGCCACTGAGACTATCGCGGAAAGTTTCATCTCAGAACTACTTAAGAACTATTTGGTGCCTTTTTGAATAGGGGCCCATATAATAACGACGGTATTATATCGTTCGTATCAGTCGTTTTCCTTTCAGATATAGAAGTGAGTAAGCGACACGGACTGGCTGCGCGGCGAACCATGCTCCAATGACACGCCCCTTCGTCCGCGGCGGAAAAAGACTGTACTCTTTTTGTTCTCATAAATTGTCCTCATAACGTAATAAATAGCCTAATGCTAGGAGGCCAACGAAGGAAGGCATCTACATAATCCCAGTTCTTTATCACCACTGAATTCAGAGATTCAAAGAAAAAGTGGAAAACCATCGAACCATTAATGTGGAGTACGCCACCCATTTGACTACCGTATGTAGTAAAGAGTGGGGTAGTCGTACACGTGCCCTGCGTACAGTATGCCATGCTGAAGCGTTCATCCTGACAGGCATATTTGATGCTAAGCATTGAATATGATGAAGCAACATGAGGAGCAAATTGTATCTTTTCGGCCTGTGCCCTGTGCTTCCTTCACCCCTTTCTTTGTCACAGCCTTGTAGAGAATACGCCTCTTAGAAGCAAAATAATGTTCTCAGATGCAGTCTCCTTAATAAAAGAACGGCTTGAAGTCACATACCTGATATAGAATGTCGTCACCAATGCTCCAGCGATAAGTAAAACCAAGACACCAGCGGCGGGGACCAATATTTTTGCATTGAGCAAGTTCTTCACGTTCGTCATCGTGGAATAGTTTTCCTAAACGAAGTTCGCAGTAGTAAATATGATCAATCGATTGGATTGGAGAGTATTCTCAAAAACGAAGTGGATTCAACGAAATATAGACTTTTATTCAACTTTAGTTGCCCATTGCGCGCTTTACCAATAAATCGGGGCATGTTATTGCTGAAAACACGACACATTTGAAACCACGACAAGATTTTCTTCTTCGTACATGAGGGAGGAAAGTAATTGCCACCCTGCTTAAAACAAGATACAAAGTCGACCCTACCAGGCCTACCCCAAAATGGTCCGCTACTCAGAAATCCCCGCCAATGCTTAGGACGAATACGAGATCCAAGGGAGGAAGAAACCGAAGGACAGTACGCAACAATCACACGATTTCCGTCAACATTAACATACCAAAGCAGCCTACTCTAATTTCGCGATAAAATCGGGGAGCAAGGAGGAAACTTTCAACCCCTCCGACTCCCTTCAACTCGTCCTCTGATTTCGCCTCTTGAAGATTTGCTTCTTCAAAGGTAGACCCATGGTTCCACCTATGACCAATTACTTCTTTTCCAAGGGAGAGAGAGTTTCATCTCAGAATCTTTGGTGAAACATCCCGGAAATGAGTAACGAAAACAGTAAGGCTCCCTTCTAAAAACGAGTGACTGCGTCGCAAAATAGCCACGGCAAATATCACGATGACAAAACGGGATGGGAAAAGACCAGGGTGAACCCACTGGCACCGTTTTTCTAACCAGGACATGTCGGAACAGTCCGTTGGAAAAATCATAACAGAACATTAAGGGAGAGAGAGTATATATATATGCGGTATTTCAGAGTTTTGTATATGAAGGTTTTTTATCCGGATTTTTGGTTCGCTTTTTTTTTCTGCTTCTTGCACACTGTTCACCTCTCATGCCCCCCTCCCCCAGCTCTTCTCGATCCCGCTCTCGAAAAAGAATTATCGGTAAAACTTGGTAAGAATCAGAATTTGGTTGGTTGGTGGGTAAGTTATGGAAGGGGTGGTAGTAACAGAAAACTTGGGCAGGAGGGGGGGGGTCAGCAAAAACTCTGCACAGTACAATGATGTGCCCTGAGTCCAGTAAGGCGGGTGATTAGGTGCATTGGGCGCAGAGCACTTAGCACCACTACAGTTCGGCTGCCTTAGAAGCTTCCAGCCTCAGGCAACCGAATGCCTTAGAAGCTTCCAGGTTCTCTCGCTGGGGGAGTCCAGAGGAGTTCTTGTCGTATTTCCTTGCCGAGCTTTCGAAGGGAAAAATAAGGAAGAGGGAAGAGAGAAGGCAAGAAGAAGGGGGTGAGGAAAGGAAGGAAAGAGGAACTCGAAGGAGGATGAAAAAAGGTTCCGCGCTTGACAGATATGCTGAGACGGACCTTAGGACTCCTCGCGTAACGTTGGGTTCACCGTAAGACGTAGAAAATATACACCCTGCCAGAATAGCACCCCACTCTCGTCAAAATGTACCAACTATGTATGGAAAGGTCTGAAAGTAAAAGAATATTCTGTAGATATAGCACACTTTCTCGAGCAATAGAGTGTCAGGCACTATGGATGATAGCAAAGCTGGCCTTATGTGCTGTGCGAATCAGGACCGATGTTTTCATTTTATAAATGGAGATGGACGTCGCTAATACGCCAATGTAATCGCGTACGACGACAAATCCGTCGATGTGACGCAACTCTCCGATGATAAATCGCTTCAGAATCCCCTGACGACACCATTCGAGAATCTCTTCCAGCGCATGCGAGAAGGGATTTCGCTATGAGCTTATAGAAGAGCCGAGCACTCTAAGAACCTCGACTGATTAATTCACTGAACTTCAGGTTTCTATGGTGGCCCATTGGCTCCAAAGGGAAAACCAGGAGAAGCTCAGAAGTGGTGCTAGGCTAGTCGTTCATCTACGCCAACTCTGAAAAAATGACAAAACTGCAGATAAAAAGTGTACGTATCGATTTGGAAAATCGAAGCATTGGGAGAAATTCGAAGCCGAATGCCGAAATTCCACAGAATCGTCATTTTTCTCCTGTCGAGGGGCTAAGCAAACAATCCCTATCAAATCCTTGCCTGCCATTTCAGCATTCCTGTAGATTCTGCATTTCTCGTCCGATACATATTTTCTTGCATCCGGAGCTTCGACATTTCTTAAAAGTTGTCATGCGTGGATACGGCCTCAAAGGCAGCGGGCACGATGGCTGGGGCGGGCGGTTACTGCCAAAGTCATTGGTGAAGGGGCTGCGAGAAGGCGTTTCCACCACACCACACTCAGGCCTTCCACCAATGACGTTAACAGGTGACCGTCCGCCCCCAACCATTGTGCCCACTGCCTTTAACGGTCAATCTTACTTGTGAGAGCTCTTAAGCTCATGCGATTTTGCATATGAAAGCAGAAAAGAGTCATGTACTGATTTTATAGTGAATCAAGTAGAATAGAATAGAAATAGAAAGATTTCCTACCTATCCTTCGTAAAGCAGAGGTCCGGATCAACGTGGAAAAAGCCATAAGTCAGGAACTCGAGTCCATACCCATGGTTCGAACGCGAACCCATCCAGTATGGAAATTCCATCACTTGAAAAATTTACAAAAACTAACCACACATGAAAGGCCAGTTTTGAGTGGCAGCATCCTAGTTGCATTTAGTTCAAGAAAACTTCGGTAATAAGTTACCATGATCCATAAATAAAGCGACACTGTGCTCAGATGTTTGCAAAAGTGCAAGGAAAACAAAGGGGAAACGTAATCAATGAAGTTCCTGAGATGTATGGTAGTTTTCCCGCCTTTTATTGAACCCACAGAAACTCTGATCTGGGAAAAACCCCCACCTCAAGCTTTATACCGAGTCTTTGCAACTGTCAGCAGCGGTGTCATATACTAGTTAGATATTGAACCTAATCACTTGAATTTCTCACCATCTCATATTGACTAATTAACTAATTGTCTGTAATTAGAGAGTGACCTGGTCAGGTAGGTCAAGAAAATTGGCGGGTTTCACAAGTCCACCTGAGCGAGTCGTTCCAACAAGGTTCATTTTACTGTCGTCTTCTTCTCGACTCGGGTGGTCTTCAGCACAACTGAAGGGGCACGGGCTTCCCCATCTTCTTCAGCTGTCTTTGGGTCTTCTATTCGCTTTAGGTGGTCTCGCTTATGGTGGTGTCCCTCATTGTATCCTTTGGTCATTTTCTATGAACGTGTCATACTAGTTAGTATCTCCTTTCAGTAATTATCCCCCATAACAATGTTTCGTCTTATCTTACTCACTCTTCTGAGCAATGCGCTAGGTGAGTCCTTGAATGATTTTCGCTGGGAAATCCTATTTGATTTGACGAGCGATTTCAGCCAAACCTTACCAACAAGTAGAGACTAACTTCTGTACGGATAAAGGGCCTGGACTCTTCTCACAGGTGTGTGCAAAACTGCATAAGAGTTGGTTTTCTTTGAAAATGGTCTTTTTCAGGGATGCTCTTCAAATGTTACCATATGCAACCATCATGGAAAGGAGATGTGGTTGCTATGCCCATTTGATTTGATCTACGACGGATCGATTGAGGAATGTAAAGACCAGAAATTGGTTGCGGATTGCAACTCTGCGGCTTCAGACTCGCAGAGTATTGTTCCGCACGCCCAAGGTGAGCGCTTCAGTCCACAGTTAGCTTCACTTCGGTCACTATTTGGTCATTTTGTCGTCACAGTAGAGAATATTCTTCACAAGGGT